ATTTTCATGTACATTTTAACAGAATTTCTTGAAGAGCAGAGAAAAAATATGTTTTAAAGTCAACATCAAAGGTTAGTTTTCATTGACTTTTGAGGGTTTGTTTATGCACTTTTTCTTTGTCTACTGCAGTGTTTGCAGTTCAGGCTATTTTAGTTGATGTGGAGGGCTATGAGCAGGCTGATGGATTCAGCAGCTGCAAATTACAGGATCAGCTGTCTGGAAGACTGAGTGAAGTGGGCAGTTGGCAGCCAAATGGATACAACCCCTGTAGCCTAAGCTACAGTTAGTGCTACAGGATAGCCCATGAGAGGATGACAAAATCTTTTTCTTAACACCGCTATGAAACTGTTAAATAAAAATGCCTAGTGAATGTTTGAGATGAATGATTACAAAAAGTTGTTTTGGAAATGGTGCTTTCTAAAAATCGGGCTATAATAGCTTCTGACGTGAAACTACATACTGATAAAATGGGGAAGGATTTCCATGCTTATATTTGTAGGCTATATATCATTGCATTGACCTGGAACTATGCATATTTAGAAATAGATGCCAATAGATAAATGCTATTTTCTTATTACTTAGAAGTACATGGTTTATTTTATCTACCTGCCACTTCTGGTAAGAGCAACTGGCACTCGTGACAGCATTTAGGTACTATCTTGTGATAATGCTGTTCTTTCTTTATAAATACAAAGTGTAAAAATGGCACATGACAATGTTCTGCTGTTTGTGCTCTATCTAATGCTAAATCACCTACAAGGAGTTAGGAAGAATGAGGACAACGAGGCCATGTTGTACCAGGTCTTGATATTGAGCCTCAGCAAAATCGGGAGCTTACATAACATGACATTTTTGTGCTGTATTTGAACTGTATTAATTATTACAGAAAATCATTAAATTCACAGCTGTGCTAGATATAATTATTTAATTTTGCTGAATTATATGTAAATCTAGACATCAGGTACAGTAGTAAGAAAATGTTGTACTAGATAATACCAGCTGGTTTTGACGTTATATGTTCCCTCTCAATATGCTGTTTTGTGCCAGGCAAGTGTAAAAAAAAGATGTAAGTAAATAGGCTGCAGTTTTATTAATGCTTTTTCTGCCAAGGATTGATCAGCATTAACTTATATGACAAAACTGATCACTTCGTTGTAATCATGTTCTCTCGATAAAGGGCTGGCATTAGCCTTCACACAGCTGTTCTTCTGTCCCTTGTGCAGCCTTCACCTCCCCATCATCATATGATAGTTAGAAAACAAGGAAAGGGGATATCAATAGAGGCCTAAATTCTTTTTTCCAAACTTTATGTAAGATGGACTTCCCCCAAACCCAGGTCTAATCCATTTTATTCAGGAACCTGGCCCGTAGTGAAATGAAATCTGGTTCTTTTGACAATGGCTACAGGCTCAGCTGAAATGTAAGTCACCCACCCAAACAATGTTATGTGATGCAGGAATGTCAACTTACAGCTCCCAAGATTTTTTTCAAGAAATACCCTATAGACTGATATATGACTGCGTGCCATATGTGCAGAGTCTGGTGTATCAGGGACTGCTGATCAGCTACTAGCTATCACACAAGTGGTTAGTGCATGTTCAGTAAGATTGTTGCATTGGCACTCCTGCTTTTTAAGCACACAGTGAACCCAGCCTACTCTTGTCTGTCTTCAGACTTAGAGTGTATGTGCAGGTGGACTGCACAGAATATACGTAATATTGAACTGGACATATTGAACTTGTGCATGCACTGTAGACATTTGTCCAGGACTTCTGGAAATTGAATAGCTGGAACTATTAATAGGGGAGTTAAATCACTTTAAATCTATGCCTGGCCCTGTTGCAAATTAAATCAGACTTCCTGAATGTTTCAATCAGATTTTCATCTGATAGGAAGAGAAGAAAAAAAACCCAACATCCCAAAGGTCACATCATGCGAACATATTTATCAGCAAAGGAAAAAATCCTTCCTATTCTCCCATGAAAGTAAAGACAAGACTACAGCGAATGCTATAATAATTTCAAGCCAGAAGGGAGAGGGAGCTGATGATAAAGTCCAAAAATGGAGCTCAGAGTTTACATATTATGAAAAGGTATGCAGGGACTTGATTTCCTTCCTGGCTTATTCAGCCGCTCAGAAAATATCTTCGTGTCTTTTGGCTGCCCACTCTTTCTAAAACCTAAATCCTTTAAGAGCTGGTACTTTGTTTGTCTCTGACTGAGGTGGTAGTCTCATATGTTAAGGTCGGAGTATGTGACCTTTACTTGGATATGGACGAGGTCAGCCTTAGGTTCTTTCCATATTACTGAAACTGTCAAGAGTGGTTAATTATCTTGTTAGTAAATAAAGCATTTGGCTGCTGCTATGCTTGCAGTAGTCTGTAAGTACTTCAGACTCTGCTTTTTGAGGAAAATGAGCAACTTATAACAAGCCGTGTAAAAATTAACAGCATATGTGCTTGAATATGTGCTTCTTCCAAACCTCTAGTGGTGCTGGGATTTGCATTTCTGTGTTGTTGTGGAAAGTTTGTCTACTTCAAAAATTTGAGATGCTTTGGTAGCTAATGTAACAGTAGCTCAAGAGAAAGCTTGTCTGAAGTATGGGTCTGAACTCTTGATTTAGAGTATTATTTAGATTCATTGGCCAACATTTTCAGTACATTATTTAACAATTGCCTGGAGACACTTGCTCATTGTTAATACTTTCTTCTTACAACTTCATGTTTCCAACCTTTCTGAGAATTCTTATGGCAGTTGAATTCAGCATGTAGCTGTGTGTGTGAAGCTGGAAAATAATGAAAACTTGTTTTGCAGGTTGGCACAAACTTAAGCTTATTCACATGAGTAGTCTAACTGAAAATATTTAAGTATTTTTCTATAGATTGAGTCTAATTTAGAAAGTTACAGTTACTGGGCAACAACCTATTTTTTAAGCCCTGAAATTAAAATTAAACTGCTTTGTGGCCAAGAGGAAAAAGACATGAAGAACACTGGAGAAGTGAATGCAAATTGGCAAACTAATTCACTAAAAATATTCTTTAAAACATTTCAAACAACAGAGAAATACCGCTGTGCTTTTCAGGCAAGTTTCAGTTGCATAAATGACTAATAATAACCTTTTCCAAAGCTTGGGAAAGATTTTTCTGAGAGTTTTAGCTTTGTCTGTGTGTCTGTAGAATTAGATTAGCACACTAATCTGGTAACTAGAGTGTCCATTTGCTCACCTGGAAGTGTGTGGATATTTGAAGCCCTGAGCACTTGCAGCCCTACATGTTGCCAGGCGAGGCTGTGTGTTTTGTACTTGCAAATATAGATGCTGGTTGTCACAACAAGGGGACTGAGGATAGAGGGGAAGAGATACTGCCTCTCTCTCAAGGCAGCCCCAAAACTCTGCTCATTGAAACTCCAATGTTTTGTGCTCACCTCTGGCATTTCTGAGAGCTACTCCTGCAGGGGACTTGATTTAGCTGTCAGTGCTTTATTAAAATGAGTAACTACTGATACTGATAGTACTCAACCATAATAGTTTCTCAAGGGCTAATATTGTTCTATCTGTTGTACTAAAATTATTTAATTATCTAAGGATTTGATTTTCGTTTAATTTGTTACATACATACAATTACATATTCAATAATTCAGCTTTACTTTCAGACTGAAGATGTCAAATCTGAACCGATAAAAATTACTGTGCTGTATTATTAATTTAGAATGAACCAGCTTTACTGATTTTTTTTTTGTTATTCTGCTGCTGTACAAAACCACAAGAGTATCATCAGAGACATAAGGTTTCATTGTAATTGTCTGATAGAATTTTTTCAATAGCAAATTTGAAATGAATCAAAATTATGTTGTTTATTCTAATTTTTATTGATGTTATGCATGTACTACCCTTTACCTAAAAAGGACATTTCTGAAGGTTTGAATTAATATGATTTCTTTATGTTTTTTTAAAAGAAATAAGTCTTGGATTTAAAATATGCTATTGACTCACCTTTAAATATGTGTCACAGATGTAGGAAAAAAACTTTCTAGGATCCAGTGTTAAATTTTTTTCAGTATTTTAATCACATTTCCTTACTTGTTTATAACGTGCTTTTTACACATAGTTTTCAAACAGATTTGTTATCAAGCAGTGTTTTTCACTCAGTAGTACATGCCTAAATATTCTTTAGTCTTGTAACTTACCTTTCACAAAGATAATTAAGACTAGATTGTAAAGATTTTACACTTTATGCAGCACAGGTTAGAAATCTGGAACATTAATTGTTAAATTTGGAGAATACCATCCCATCAAAACCTTAGTTTTATAACCTGGTAACTTATATTTTCTTTTCTGCTTTCTCAATACAACTGTTCACAGCTTCTCTGCTTTCCCTCTTTCTCCTTCTCCACCCATCATCTTCTGTTCAATTTTGAGTCCAGAACAAGACTATGCAAAAGTTAGCGCCCTCTCATCACAGCAGTCAGCAATGGATCTCAGAAACAGCTTATCCACATTAAGTCTATCCCAGACTTTGGCCCTACTTGGCTATAAAGGCTAGACTAAAAGGTAAATTCTGTCCAAAAGAATTTTCTTGATGATGGCACAGATCAGATTCTTTGCATTTTAACTGGGGGTGGGGGGAAGAGGCAGAGAGGAAGACTGCTTGTGGCAATCTTATCACTTTCATTCCTATTGCCATCTTCTAGGATGTCCCTTTACAGTGTTAGTTTTCTGTTTCTGATTCATGTGATCTTGTTGTGCCATCCTTCTTTATTGTATGCTGTCTCTGCAGCTCTTACTGAGCAGTCCTGCCAAACAGGACAGCTGCTGGTTCAGTTGCTGTAGCATTGCCATAAATAAAAAAAAAAAAAAAAGAGAACCCTGGATGTATTAATTACATTATCTTTCCTCTCTGAAATAATCTATTCTGCATTTAATAAAAAGTACATGAAAAGTAGAGCTGATCCATAAAAGGACCATGCCTGTAGCTAAATATCTATTTTATTTTTCCATTACAGGATATTTGTGAAGATATATCTGATCATGTTGAACAAATTCATGCTCTACTAGAGACTGAGTTTTCCCTGAAGCTTCTGTCTTACTCTGTCAACGTGATAGTCGATATCCATACAGTACAACTACTCTGGCACCAGCTACGTGTTTCTGTTCTGGTTCTGAGAGAGCGTATTCTCCAGGGACTACAAGACGCCAATGGAAACTACACCAGGCAGACTGATATTCTGCAAGCATTTTCTGAAGAGACTAAGGAGGTATAGTAACTAAATTCAGCTTTGAGAATTTCATCTGTATTTGAAGCAGCTCATCCCTGTTGCACATTTAAAATTGCTAGGATGATAATTTTAAGGATGGCTTACTTGTCTTCTAGATATTTTGCTAATTTTGTGTTTTAAATATCTTCAGCTGATATCTGTTCTCGTTGAACCAAATTAAAGCAAATTAAGGTCAGCTTTCAGAATTGTCATGCTAGTGGTTAGCAATATTTTCTCCTGATTGAAATACTTTTCATAAAGGATCGAAAACACTTACAGAGGTGCATCTGGTCCAAAGTCCTTGGTCTGGTCACTCGTGCATTCAAGGTTCATATCCAATTCATAGCTCAATTTTTATGTGCAATGAATTCTTCAATGAAAAGCTTAGACATTTCCCTTCTTGCATACACAAACCCGAAGCTTATACAATGTTTTCCAACACTTTCCAGACTAGGTCAGTATTGCTTTAAAGCAGAGAGCATGGACTTTATTTTGTTTGAGTGGCAATTCTACAACATGCCTCTAAAGAGTCACACATTTTGTCTGAGAAACAATGATGCACGAATCATACATTTTTTACTCTAACGGGGTGTCAAATTCGCACACATGTGAATGCTTTGTAAATCTGGATTCATTTGACTAAAATACCTTTTCCTTTGAATTTATCGTTACTAAATCAGCTTAGTTAGAAGGACACTACTGGCCCAAATTTTAAAACTGAAAGAAGATGCGTTTTTTTAATAGTTAGGGTAATTAACGGTTAATAAGAGATACCTTAACGTGTAGAGGATTCTTCATTTGCTCAAAGTCCTAAGATTAGGATAAAATCCTTTTGTTAGGATTAGATACATTTACAGAAAGAGGCCCCTAGATCAGTGCAGTGAGATTCTGCGACCTGCGTTACAGAAGAATTCAGAAGTCCCTTAAACATGTCCTGAATTTCAGATCACTCAAGTTTAAAGAGAATGTGCATATTTCTCTGCTCCCTGTTGGGTTTTATATTTGTCTTTGACACAACAGAGTGGGTGGTCCTGAAATCAATACTCAGATATGCCCAGGCCCACCTTCCGCACCCCCTCTTCCTGATGTATACGTACCTGGTGCTTCAGATTCAGTTTCTGCTTTGCTGTTGCTGGTAAACCTTCTCTGGCCGGTCTGAAGGAAATCCACCTTTGTCTGAATATCCAGAGTGGTGAATTAGGCTGAAGTCATTATTTTATGACATGAGCGTGCTGATTTCAAGACATAAGGAAGGGGCAGATTCAGACACTAAGAAACAGGAAATGTGCCATCTGGATCTGATTACAACTGCTATAAAAAACATCCCTCCAATACAAGGGAGGACTGACTGGGGAAGGATAGATTATTTTTCAGGGGGGAAAAAACATGTTGCCAGATAGGCTTATATGGTAATAAAAAAGACAATATATCCTGACACAAACCTTTTTTTCCACCCCAACTAAAACATAAATAATATTTGATGTAATTAATGGTTAGCAATAGCAGGGACACAATATTAATATTAAGTTTCTGCTCTGTTGTTTGAATAGGTTCCCAGAAATTGCTCTACAGTTTTTAACCTTGGAGTATTTATTAAAGCTTTTCATTGGGTATAATGGTAGTGGCTTTATTGATGAAAATAAATAAATAAATAAAATGTAGTGTAGAGGCAATTGTATCTACTCTTACCTACCTTTTTTTTTGGTGTTTTCCCCATATCCTTTCCCAGATAGGACTACATTGTGGGACTAGTAAGTGCTTCGTGATGCAAGTGTTATCCATTAGGGATTTTCATGCATAAGTGAATAGTGAGACTGTTTGAGCAAACCTAAGAACTTTTGCCCATACAGATAACCGTCCCTTGGAGAACCATTGTCCTAATTTTCAGTACTCCTTGGGGATTATGAACTGGGAATGACAGCGTATTTTTTTCTCCTAAGATTGAGAAGTCATCTGGTTTGTAATGAATAGAAGGAAAACTTTCACACACAACAAAGACTTCTATTTTGGAATTCACTACCGTAGGACACTTAGAAGTGGAAAGAAGTTCAAAAAATAAATGTGAAAAGTAATCAAAGATAGGAGGAATTATAACCTCCAGATGAGGAAGTCCCTGTGCTGCTCATTGGTAGAAGCTGGGAGTGTGGGTAGAAATGTTGTGTGTGGAAGGGCCATGTATGTATACCCATGTCTTATAGCTCAGCTAGCAGAAAATGTTTAGAACTGATGCAGAGACAGGATACTGGGCTAGACGGAAATCTGATCTAAACCAGTACAGCAAATGCTATGCTTTTCTGTAGTCCATGAACCTATCACTTCACAAAATGTTTGGCTCGCTCCTTAAGTCAGCTGTCTTCTGTGTAATGGTGAAGAGCAGTTTGGCTGCCAATGTTAACTGAGGAGCTCCATGGAAGAAGTGACCTGCCAAGGTTTCTTTCGTGTTCAGTGAGACAGTCTCATCTCGTTAATGTTCACTACTCTCTCAGTTCATAGACTGCACAGTCAGTCACAGTGCCACTGTCCTGCCTGGGCTGTATTTACACTGTAGCTGTAACACACATAAATGCACAAGCTAGCCTCAACGTAAGGAACAGGGATAACACTGGTAGAGCAGCTACCAAAACATGAAAGTGTACAGCACAGGCTGTATTGGCTTGGTTGAGAGCCCAGCTCATTAACTGGGCAGGCAGTAACTGTGCTTTCGGCTATCTCAGCAGTGCCATACTGAATAAGGTGCCAGCAGGAAAGGGCACACAAAGTTTCATGGCTTGGAGGAAATAGAGGAACCAGTGAGACGAGCTGCCTGCCATGATGGAGATGCCAAATTAAGAAAATACTTTTTTTAATAAAAATCTTTGGAAAGGTAAGATTTTGAAGGACCATTTCTCCTTCAGGAATTACCCAGAATTAGATAAGAAGGAAAGAAAAATAGGTTCTGGGCAGCCAGAGTTCTGTCCAGCTGAATCTAACCTGTGAGTTTTATTTCACAATTGATAAAGCCAGGAAAGGATCAATACAAGGCTATGTTAAATACAGTGAATCCTGATGTTCTCAAACAGCCGGTAAAGTCACAAAATATCTTACAAATTAAATTAGCTGATTTGAAAGAGTAAAAAAAAAATGCAGAATCGTGCTGGTTTAAATATAAATACAAGAAGGTATTTGAAACAGCCTACAGAGGTTTACAGGAAGCATTACTATGTGAAAAGGGACAAATTTTTTGAACGAAGGTATTCCTATTGGTAGCCATGCAAATAACTAAATGTAATATTTTTCTGAAATAAAAACAATAATAAAAACATGGTAATACTGGCATTAAATAATGCTCCTCCAAAGCACACATTTAAGAGGCTGCTTGGAAAATGACCAAGCAAGATGGTTTAATGCATGTGATTGTAAATTTTATTAATGTTAATAAACACTTTTTTAAGAGATGAAGCAATGGAACTCATTATTCAGGAGAAATGAAGGCCCTTAGGGCCTTGGAAAGGGTTTTGATTTATATATGGTTTTACAGTTTCTAATATTTTCCTGAGATTAGAGGGAAAATGCAGCTGTAATACTGATCATTGTTTAGTCATTATTTTCCTTAATAAATGCAGTTCCAAAATATAAATTTGACAGATTTATAGAAACTTCCCCTTTTAATTCCAGACTATTGACAATGTACAATTTGTGGCATAGGTTCTACATCTGGATAGAAAGTGCTGAATAAAAGATATTTTCAGTGTCCAAGATTATGGTTGATAAATAACTTTCTAATCTGTCTTTTCTATAAATAATATTTTTAGCTGGAGGATTTTTTATATTTTTACTTTGAGTAATGCAAGTGGTGTGGACAGAGTACAGGGCTCAAACATTATATGTTTATAGAAGATGGCAAACAATAGCCTTCTTTATTGAGACTATTCTTGTTCAGACCAAAATCCAAGTGGTTTATCGTGAGATGAAGAGGTTGGGGGGTTATTGCACCTTCTTCAAGCATGATGCCTAAGGTCCTTAAACTATGGGTTTAGGCAGTGTAGTGAGACAAGCTGCTCCAGAGGATAATTCAGACAGGAACCTATTGCAGATACGCAAGAGTTTCTTTAAAAAACTCTATTATGAAAACCAAACCTGGTAGAAGGACCAGTATACTGATTTAGGCACCTAAAGTTAGAATCCCAAAACATGAGTTTCTGCACTTTATGATGTTTTTAAAGTAGTTTCTGTAAGCATGTGAACTAATGTTGGCTTTTTTATTTTTAATTTTGCTTTCCAGTTTCTTTTGTCCAACTGACATCTCTGCCAATTTCTCTTGTTCTAGATAGTTTCATTGAGTTACTTAAGATGTACACCAGTGTAAATAAGAACAGAAATTGTTTCAGAATTATTTAATCCTACATTCAGGTTTCAAATTACGTGCTGGGATCTGGAAATAGTTGAGTTCTGCCTAGATGTTAGAACATTAAATCATCTACTAAAAATACACTTATAAACTGTTGACTAAACATAATTTTTCTGTGATTGTTATCTGTCAGGCTGCTATTGGATCTTAATGTAGTCAGATTTTTTTAGTGTCACCAAAATATTTATAAACATTATTTTGACTTTGATCTTAAAATCTTATTTGCCACCTGAGATAGTCTCCTCCAGATAGGTCTGTGTTTCTGAGAATGAAGGACTTCCATTGAGAAAATGCTGACACGGGGACAGGGCAGGCCAGAGCTTTAGGGTTCCCGGCTATAGTTTTTTTTCCATGAGCTGTTCTCCATTTGTACTCCAAATATCCAGCAGATAAATTCTCAGTTGATAATGCTACAGAAAAGTGAAATGTAGTTAGCAACCTCTGTCTCATAAATATGGGAAGAAATGTCTGTCATTGCTAGATGTTTCTTGGAAAAAACATTCTGGCAACCAACTGAAAGATCATAGAGCAGCATGGGTTTCTGAGAACATAAGATTAACAAGGTGGCTGATATACACAGCAGTCCCCAAGATCCCCTCCCTCCTGTTTGAGGTAGTTAACACAGGAAATACTACTAGTCTGTTGAATGGAATTTCTGAGTCCCCCCTACAGAGCAGGTAGAACTGAGAGCAGAATTTAAGGAGCAGAATACCAATACCAAAGTGAGCTGCTATTTTTAGGTAACTTGCTGCACCAGACTGAAACTAAGCATTTTTCAGTTTACTGCCATTTTTAATTCACAAATACTTTAGAATGGTTTGCTCATCTCCAGGGTATTGCAAAAATGGGCAGGTCAGTGATGAATTCTTTTCTAGATGTTAGGCAGTGAAACATAGAAGCTGATAGTTCATTACTTTGTATGTGCTGTGTATGAAAATTAATCTCCTAAAAAAGTACCATTTCTTTGTCTATTTCAGGACCGTCTTGACTCTTTAACCGAAATTGATGATTCTGGACAGTTAACTATCAAATGTTCTCAAAATTACTTGTCACTGGATTGTGGTATTACTGCATTTGAACTATCTGACTACAGTCCTAGTGAGGATTTGCTTGGTGCTCTGGATGATATGACCTCCAGCCAAGGGAAAGCAAAATCATTTGAATCCTGGAACTACAGTGAGATGGATAAGGACTTTCCAGGACTTATCAGAAGTGTGGGTTTACTTGCAGTAGCAACTGATTCCATTGCTTCCCAGTGTAATGAAGCATTAAATGAGAAAGAAACCCATGTACCTCTTTCAGCAGAAGATGGAGAAGAAAGCAAAGACAGGGAAGCACCACATGAGCTCTCGCTATCTCCTTCTGCGAACTCCTCTCTTTCTAAAGGACCTTGTTCTGAAGATGGTGTTTTACCTGCTGACAGCAAACCAGTTTCCACATTAAAGAAATCAGAATGCAATCTTCCACAGCACACCAGTGAAAAAATCAAACACACTCACTGTGAAAACTCAACACCTAAGAGATCCATAAGAGACTGCTTTAACTATAATGAAGACTCTCCTACGCAGCCTACTTTGCCAAAAAGAGGTCTATTTCTGAAAGACGATGTGTTTAAAGATTATATGGAAGCCAATGATTTAAAAAGGCAAATCTCTCAGATAGTTAAAAATGAAATGAGTAGAAGTACACCCTCATTGTTAGATCCACCAGACAGGTCCAAGCTTTGCCTAGCTTTACAGTCACCCTACACTAACAGTCCATCTGCAGTTAGTCAGTCATACGATTGCTTAAATACAATAGGTGACAGAAATCTAGAGTACACAATAAATAATCACTTTAAGGATAGTCCCATAAGTCTAGGGAAGTCTACTTTCTACACCTGTAAAGAAAAATCAAAGCACAAGAAGTCTCATGATGCTCCAGAGAAAGTGAAAGCTGGCAGAACACCTGGAGGTATGTGTAAAACGGCTCCACCAATACAAGTCAAAAAAAGAGGACGTTCTTCTCTACAAAATGGAATTACTTCTCATAACTCTCAGTCTCTGGAAGAGACGGAAACAGATTCTTCTGCATCATCAGATTCTTGTAACCAGAGAGACCCAAATGGGCAATCACACGGTAAAACTGAGCCTTTTAGTTCACCAACACGTAGCCAAAAGAATGCTTCCTCAGCTGGTTCTGAGCTTACCAACTCATCACCTCTTCTACTGAGAAGAAAGAATAATAAAAGCTTCTCCTCAACACCAAGCTATACTCAAAAAAAAAGTGATGGTGAGGTCTGGTATGGATCTGATGAATATTTAGCACTTCCTTCACATCTCAAACAGACTGAAGTATTAGCTTTAAAACTAGAAAATTTGACAAAGTTGCTGCCCCAAAAGCCCAGAAGAGAAACCATTCAAAACATTGATGACTGGGAGCTGTCAGAAATGAACTCAGATTCAGAAATGTATCCAACGTACCAGACAAAAAAGCACAAAAAAATGGGTAGAATTTCACCAAGCTCTTCAAGTGATATAGTATCCTCCTTAGGTGACAGTATTGAATCTGGGCCTCTCAGTGATATTCTCTCTGATGAAGATCTTTGTATGCCTGTATCTTGCATTAAAAAGTACATCGAAGAAAAGTCAGAAAGGACTGCTGTCACTCAGCCCACTGAGAATGAGACTTCTGCCTCAAATAAATCAGCTTTAATTCATCAACTGATGCAAGACATACAACATCAAGAGAATTATGAAACCATATGGGAAAAAATTGAGGTAAGGCAACAATCCTATGTTCTTCTGCTGTGTTCATGATAAGCCTATATATGGAGATGGAGCTGTGGGCAGGGGTGGAGCTGCTTTCTTGTTTTCTTTTAATGATGAAAATAGTCTCATCTAGTGACTGCTAGAAGTAGAGAACAGCAGTGATCATTGTAATTATAATAGACTGCAGTTAACTAGCTATACAGAATTTGTCTACATTATTTTACTTACACAAATGCCTTTAAACTTGGCAAAACAGTATTTTAGTAATAGACCTTCTTTTTGCCAAGATCAGGTACACTGTAAGTTATTTTTTGCATTAAGTGAAAGATAAACATTGGAAAATCAGGGATCTTTGTTGTATTTGAATGAAGTTATACTTAATATCATCTGCTTATTTTCTTTATAAAAAAGAATTGCTTTAGTCCAAGAACAGAGGAATCATTTTCTTGATTCCTGTCGTATGATGTATAATAACTGCATTTCTTTTTAATCAACTCTCTTCCCTTGCAGTGATTATTTCCCCTCCAGTCCTCCAGTGGAACTAAGCATAGTATCTTATTTTTTTTCTCTCTCTCTCTCTCTCTCTTTTTTTTTTTTTTTTTTTTATTTT